GTAGTTGTACTTTAATGTTTTCAGAGTAAATAATAGAAGTTGATGATTAAATTGACTGATTTATTCAGTCACAATAGGAATAAAGCAATTTGGCTCCATAATGATTTCAATATACAAACATTTTCAGTTTTAATCAAGTTGGACAGAATAAAATATATTTCTATTTAATCAGTTAAAACAAAGCTATTTAAACAAAAACTAAAGCAAATTCAGTATATTTACAGACAAAAAAATCACTTTCAATAGCTTTTTGTAGAATAACTGCATACTAATTGGAATTTTTTTAAAGAATTTATCAAGTGTACCCTAACACAAAATGACTGCAGCATGTCATCACAAAACCAGTGCAAGTAATGAAGATAACAGACTGCCTTCCTTCCTTACCTTCTTGCAAGAAATAAGGTAATTCATCAACATGTTTCATTACTTCCTGGTTAGTTGTTTGTTTGGATATATCATCCCCATCTTCCGGATAATTTGATGTTACAGATATCTTTCTGTTTAAACGTTTTCAGTAAATTTGGCAGATTTATTCACTGTTATTCAATGCTTTCCTTCTCACCGTAAACTCTCTTGAATTTAATGTCAAACTTAGCTTCCCATTGGGACAACCAACCATCCATTGCTTTGAAATCATTATGACCCAGCTTTTAGCAAAATCTCAGAGCAACCATTACCTTTTGAATTTCAAGAAATTCTGGTAGAGATCCAAGAAGGATTTTGAAACTGTAAGCAAAATTTGATAGTAAAACAAATATATTTTCCATTCAATAAAATGCATTGCTGTGAATTCCTTTTCGAACCATGCTTTGGGACCTATACAAGCTTATATAAATGGACACATAAATAAAATAAATTAGTAGTTTATCCAAGATAATAACCAAAACATATCTCTCAGCTACTCTCCATGCAGCCATACATATTTTCAGAAGTTTGATAACTCTCAAAGAGAACCAGACAAGTCAATGTAAGAGTTATTCTCACATTCACATCTAAGCATAGAACTCTTATAATTTTTTTTATATAAAATATTCAATATTGTACTTCAACAAAAACCTTTTATCTTAACAAAATATATCACAAACTCTAATCAGATATTAAACCTTGAAAAGCAGGTAAAATTCCTTTATTATAGTTCCTTCTAAATTTAGGATTGGGTTTCCGGTTCCTTCTAAGGTCTACTTCAACTCTATACTTCTGATGTCTCTGTCTAAACTTTGAAATTTTATTTACTATTTCTTTCCTCAATAGAAGTAGGTAGGTGAACCTATCATTTGGTTCACACTCCTCCCCAATTTTTTCAACAGGAGATATCTCTGGTTTCCTGTTTAGGATTGGGTTTCTGGTCTCTTTTCCTAAAGTCTCTCCATTCTCTTTTACTTCCAGTAACCCCTTGCATCTTAGTGACATTATCACTTTGCTTGGGGTGAATTAATCAACAAAAAAAAATTATTATTTCAAGTTTTTCTTTTGTATTATTTAATCCTTAATCCCACTGTATGTTGCTTTTTTTTTTTAAAATCATTTCACCCCAAGCAAGGTAATAAAGTCACTAAGATGCAAGGGATTACTGAGTATGAAAGAATATGAGAAAAACAAAAAACAAAACAGTATTAAGGAGAGAGAACAATAAAAGAACAAGAATGAAGAAGATAACAATTGACATTGCATTTAAAGTTTTAATGATCAAAGTTAACTGTGAAGCAGGAAGAGAGTTCCACAAGCGAGAAGTGCAAGAGAAGAAACTGTTAGCATAGAACTTATGATTAAATCTTGACATTTCAATAGTAAAATGATGAGACCTTTTTGTCATTGTAGTACTGCACTTGAATTCATAAAGTTTAGGTACCATAGGGTAAAATTCATCAGAACAATTACCATGAAAGTATTTATAGAAAAGGCAGAGGGAAGCTACATTACAGCTAAGATACTTATGACTTGTATTCCTCCTTTCATAAGCAGTTAACACTAAATTCAAAATATGGCTAGCATCAAAGGTAACATGAGGAATATGATGCACTCATATTTGTTTGATGTGACACTATATAGGCAACGTTACTACAAATGACCATATACCCAACCCTTATTTTACTTCAGCACCATTTATAGTCATAGAACTTTATAAAAAGATTTGCTGAGTAAAAAAATAACCAAACCCTTTCTCAACAAACCCTTTAGACTTACCCTTTATAAATGGATATTCTATTTGTAGTAGCCTGTAATTAGGATAGAAAATCTCTGAGGGCCTCTCCAATGCTCTTGATTCTTACCTGCTTGTTTTTGTTTCCTTGTTCCTTCTTTGTGTAGTGTAAATTAATATCAGCATTTGTGTTGCTATGGTACAAAACATTGGATTACAGTTTTTGGTACTCCTATTATTTCAGCTAATCTGCATTGACTTGTCTTATTGTTTCCCACCTTCTTGGCTGGCAATTTTCCCAGAAAGTTATAAATCCATAGGAATTCTGCATGTACTAAATGTAATATATATTTATACTTGTACTCTATAAAACTGCTTACAATAGGTTGATAGCAGATACTAAATAAATGTCAGCAGTGACCAACTAATCGACATGTCATTTTCATTTGTTCCTTGTGAGAGATTAAGAAAAAAAAAAAAATTTAAATATATTCAATATGATTTGAATTTCCAAGATATCTTAAATAAATGATCGAGCTGATTAATCAATGACCAATTTATTAAAATTCAGGCCAGAAAAGGTAGCTATTTAAATATTAAAAAAGTTTTTAAATCTTGTAAAAAAGCATGCAAAGAATAAGAAAATAGTACACACTACAAATGAAAATGCATTAACTGTTAGTAACTATTTTAAATAGTAATTCATTAATATAACTCTTTAATTTCCTTTGTGAAAATTAAAACTCAATTTAAAATTTGATTTCTTTTTAGGGTTATTTAAGATTAACATCAAGATGTATACAGAATTTTATGCTTTGTTAAATTGTGTTCTCTTTTAAAATAGGTATCTCTGCTAAAATCGCAATACCTAAGGTTTAAAATTAATTTTTACAAATGAAAAAGCTTTCTTGAAGCTTTCATTTTAGTTTTAATGGAAAGCTAAAGGATTAAGTTTACTATTTCCAGTAAGCAAAATACTCTGGTGTATTTCAAACAGAATTTATATTGATTGAAATCATTGTTTTTTTTTAATTTTTTCTAAAATAGCTGATTAGCATCCTTTTTTAGTAGTCTTTCATTGCAATATAATTCTCTGTATTAAAAAAATCTTCCAGAACTAAATTATACTTTTCTGAAACTTTATTTGAAGAATATTAGCTGATTTAAAGTATAATTAATCTGATTTTAAAAAATATATACTTTAAGTTGAAAATAACAGAAATAAATTTTTAAAACAAACAGTGGTGATGATTTATATGCGTTTCATCACTTGTCAATCACTTATCAACCACTGATGAGATGTTGATAGGGTTATTGTTGTTCTATGGAGACTATCTGTTAAAACATAATTTAAGAAAATGACAAATGAACACTTTTTTTTATATATATATATATATATATATATTCAAGTACTTAATAATTTTAAAAATGTTGGAAATATTCTCCGTAATCTAATTTTAGGAACTTTAAATCTACTATAGTCATCAATCTTATTTTCTGACAATGTTGTGTATGGTCACCCATACTTCCAAAAATGGGCATCTTTATACTCATAAAAAAAAAAAAAAAAAAAAAAAAAAAAAAAAATTAAAAATTATTTTAAAAATCTTGGTGTGTGATGATCTGTACTAAGCTTTTAAATCTTCACTTAATACAGTTTTAACTTAATAACCTAATGAAGAAAAAGTTTTGAAGAATTTTTAAAAGATTTTTTTAAAACTTTATATAATTAATAAAAACTGAAAACAATTCTTGTAAAACTCCATTATTCATTGTAAAAATTTTTTTTTCTTCAGATCCTTAACATATATTATTTATAAAAGCAATTAAAAGCTTATCTAATTAAATAAAGTCATAGTTTTATTGCAGTTTTTATTTTAGGATTCAGAGCAGATTTTCATGAACTAAGTAACCAAAAAAAAAAAAAAAGAAGAAAAACATTTTTACCAAGATTTTCTAAAAATAATACTTTCAAAAATAAATAAAGTCCTGAAAGTTTCATTAAATTCCAACAATTATTTGATTTTTGCAAGAATTTCCAAATCAATGTGTTGTTTTACTGGAAAAAAGGCACTAAAATTTCCCTAGTCGGCTCTGTTACATCATTGATGCATATAAAAAAAATAATAAATTTTTTGACAAAAATTTCAAAAATGTTAGAAAAGAGTAAAAAAAAAAAAATTAAAAAAATACTTTGGTCTTTCCTCTTAATAATAGCATAAACATTTTGACAATAAAACTTTGTTTTTATTAAGTTTTGGACTTTTTTTTTCATCATACTATGCTGTTTTTTAGTAAAAAAGTAGCGGTATCTATTTAAAAAAAAATTATCTGAATGAAAATAATTTTAAAAATAGTGAATTCAAAATTTACTATCTTTAAATCAAGAGATGCCATTTAATTTTAGTTTAGGTAAATTTTAAAATAGGAAAAACCAAGATTTCTTTTTATGTTTTTGGTCAGTTATAAAATATATAGTGGTTAGAATTGCAAAGAAGCTTTCCTTGAGAAGGAAAAATTATCAGCAACTTTTTTTTACTATTAGCAAATACATTATGAAGCAATCAATGGCTCTGGACTGGACAAATGTAAACTTTTTAACATAAAATCAGGAATAAAAAGAATTGTTTTAATTGGTATAACTTTTCAGTCATGCTGCAACAGAAAACTGTACTGCATAAAGTAACAATTATACATCAACTAATGGATATCTATTCAACTTATAAAACATTAAAATCAAGATCATGCATTAGTGATAATGCAGTAGCCATCTTACCTATCCTCTCAAGCATGACAATCTTTAATGTATGCTAAAATTGACATTGAATAAAGAGGTAAATACAATTTTTTTGTCACTCACATTGTAATTGCTCTAATACTTTGTTTGAAGATCTTTGTAGGCTACTTTTTACAGTTTCTGATAATTTCACAATCTCTTGCTGCTGTTGTTGTTGTTGCTGCTGTGGTTGTTCTCGATATTTCTCTTGAGTTTTATTGAATAGATTTCTTTCAATGATTGATTTGTAAAGTCTAGATGCTGACTTCTTTTTATCTTCTTTATCCTAAATGCAAAGATAATAAGAAATAAAAATATCAGGCAAAACACAAGAATTATTTCCAGAAATGAATAGTAATAGATGAAATAAATTTGCTTTATTAAGTTATTTAAAAAGTTAATTGAATTGGAATGAAAGTGCAGACAATGAAATAAATGACAAGTGTTGATGCTCATGCACCAATTGTAGCAGAAACAATTTATTATTCATGAAATGACTGGTGATCTTGTCTAGAAAAAAATACAACACTTCACTTTTTTTTTTAAAGTTGATAGTTCTCATTTTATTCAAACAGAATGGAAAAAGAAAGGTCAAACAGAAGACAAGAATTCCTTATTTAAAGTTGTTTAGATTGAATAAAGGACAAGGCTTCTTATTTCATCAACTAACCACCTTCAACAGTGTGGGCTGCAGGACCCCTGCTCTAAAAGTACTGTCACTCAAAAGGTAAAGAACTTATATGCAAATGAACCTTGAGTGCTTTATATATGATATGCATTACCGAGTTAAATTCATATCAGTACAGGATGTGAAGTTACTTGGTCATGTGATCTGTGACTATGAGTATGATAGACATGCTTTTTTGATCACACTATTCTTGACCTACTTTGGTTAAGGCATCTTTAGTTAGATCAATAAATCTGATCCCAGAAGTCCAGCTACAAATATATAAAAGTTAATGAAAATATAATATTAAAATAGTCTGGAAAATTATTGGGATCGAAGAAAAGTTTGCAGCATTTTTCAATAGATAACATTTGAACATGTGATTTTGTTTACATTTATGACATATATAAATATGAAAGACATTTCAATATGTCTTTCTATGCAATTTATGTGTGGATTTTAAATTCTAAAAGTAAAAATAGAGAAAAAATGAGAAGCATTTTCATCATTTGATGCTCATTTATTTCAAGAAAGGAAAAACAATGCTGTACAAATGGCTAAAACAATATGAGACATTTATGGAGATGGTGTCATGACTGAGATTACTGTTTGTAAGTGATTTACTAGGTTTAGAAGTGGAGATTTTGATGTAGAAGAAGAATGTTCCAGTAACACTGCAGCCATTGATGATGACCAAACTGGAATGCTGGTGAGATGACATGGGACATTACAGAGACACTCCACATATCATGAGTATAATAAGTCATTTAAAAACACTTAGATATATGAGTACCTCACAATTTAATGGGAAAAAAAATTTTTTTAAATTTATGAACAACTTTTTACTCTGTAATTCTTTGTTCAAATGCAATAAAATCAGCCCATTTTGGAAAAAAAAGTGTTGGAAAATTGTTTACAAGAATGTGAAGCAAAAAAGTTCCTGGAGAAAATTAAATGAGCCATCATTAATGATTGCAGAAGCCAGTTTGCATCTGAAGATGATGATGTCATGCATCTAGTGGAATTGGAAAGACATTATCTTTTATGAGCTTTTTCTGCAAAATTAGATGTTGAATTCAGACAAGTATTGTTCCCAATTGACAGTAATTGATGAAAAGCATCCAAAATAAAACAATTGAAAAGATGTTGACTTCCATCAGGACAGCATCAGACCTCACATCTTTCTTGCAGCTCTGGCAGAAATTGGTATATCTTTGTTTGAGATGTCCTACTACACCTGTTGTACTCCACTTCGAATTACCATTTATTTTAATCCCTACAAAAATCTCTAAATGTGAAAAACTTAAAATCTCTGGAAGCCTGTAAAAACCACTTAGACAGGTTCAACACTCAAAAATATGCCAAGTTCTGGGATAATGGAAGCATGAAGCTTTAAAGATAACAAAAAGTAGTATAACAAAATAGCATATATGTTTGAATAAATCTATGTACAAATACATAATTATTGTTCTTGGAAAAAAATGCTACAAACTTTTATTTTTACCCAATAATTTCTAATACATTATGTATGTAACATAACCTGATTTAATTATTTAGAAATATAATAAGTACAATTAACAGTTCTTATAATTATAAGAAAACTTCACTAAGATTTAATCATTTGTTAAGATTAGTGCGACAAGTTTTGCTCTCTTCACTGGATATTTTAAGCAATGTACTCTCCAGTTATATTATGTGTTCATTTAAGAATTGAACTTCTTTCTTTCAATATACTTTTTTTTTCCTTATATGTGAAAAGCTACAAAATGTGAAATATGAAAGGATAAACAAATCAACATTTAATATTGTGGCAAACATGCAAAGGGACATCACTCCAGCACTAATGAAAGTCCTATGAATAAATCAAAAGTAAAACCGACTTATCTTTTTTCATACTTAGTAAACTAAAAGAAATATAACTATTATTGTGCTAGACTGTCAAATGGCTTAACAACAGGAAATATTTAAAACGGTTTTCAAGTATAAAACTTGGCCAGTGATTTGAAAGAAAGTTCAAAATCTATTTGAGAATGCAAAATAATAAAAAAACAAACACTACACAGAACTATGGGCATTTAACCCTTTAACGTTCCTCATGGTGTTTAAAGAAAATATCTGCTGATAATACCAATTCTTAATTTTTGTAAATAATCCTCATTGTTAGTTTAATGATAAATTCTACTTTAACATACGTTACTGAGAAATTTTTGTCCTACTCCTAAAATTTTTTACTTTGTGTTTGAAAACAATATTGAAGGTCTAAACATGAAAAATACTAAAATAAAATAATTTGTTAAAATATTAAATAGAATGGGTAAAAAAAAAAAAAATTATGCATTTGAATAACATCAAAAATAAATGCTGCAAAGACAATAAGGGAGATAAAATTGGTTAAAATAAAAAAAATCTTACCTTTGGAGGTGGTTCTATGTTCAAAGTTGGAAGTGGATTCATAATAGTCGGGCAGCCATCAACAAAATGATTTGAACAAACCTATAAATAGAAATTTTAAAAAAATCATTTTTCTTACAGTGTCTGTGTACAGTTCATTGCTTCATTTTACATAGGCTTTAAAATTATTCCTTTAGAGTTTAGAGACAACTTTAGAAAGTATGCACGTGCCATATTTCCCGTATGCTAAGACGATACAAGTGATAAGACGCAGCCTATAATTAGCTAATTTTTTTTTTTTTTTTTTATATATAATATTCGAGGATTTAAATAGCTTCTTACCGTACTAGCAAGTCCAAGTTGCCGACTTATACTCAAATTGTTCCGTTTCATAAAGCGGTAACACCAAGACGAAGATCCAGTAAACTCATTCGCCGGTATATTCTTTTCTGCTGCCAGTCTCTTTGCCTCGCACATTATCATCTTTGTTGAGACGGTATATCCCATACTTTGTTGGTCAACTACCCATGTTTTTATGACTTCCTCTAGTTGTGGGAATTTTGCATGCTTGTAACGTAGTCCATGTTTTCGCCTTCTCGTTTTTTTTAAATCCTCCTCCTGCTTCCTCCATTCCCGAATCATTTTTTCGGTGGGTGGTAATCCATACTTCCTTTCAGCTGCCCTGTTGCCATGTTGTTTAGCAAACTCTATTACTTGTAACTTGAAATGAACAGTGTATGCCTGTCTTCTCTGCTTTGCTGCCATTCTGTTCATCACTCGTGGAAGGTTATCATCTGCTGAATGTGCCGAGATTGGTGACGTCGTCTGCTTCGATGACGGTAGTTGGCTTGTCCGAGTGCACCATCACCATAAACAAACATGGCGGATAGTAGGTAGTGGAAATTGACAGTACATTTGGAATTAACGGTAGGCTTATTAAGCTAAATGGTTTATTTTAATAGTGCACAAAGTGGGGTATATGGCTGATAATCCTGGTGTACATATGAAACGTAACTGTCAGCCTGTAGGTGGCTGGGGTTGGGGTTTGTGAAGTAAGTTAGTGCAGTATGCCTAACGAAAGACTTACTTACAATACCGGTAGGAAGCTGCCTACTGGTTATTAATACTCGAAAACAAAACAAAATACAAGGTATGATACTAAACGTGATATACGGTAATTGTTACAAATGAATAATAATTGTACGTTTACGTCTGGGTTCGTGACGGTTGGCAAATTTCTCTCTACAACTTGACCTTTCAGTGCTAAGGCGCAGGGTTATTTTTATTTTGAGGGGGGAAATTCGTCTTAGCATTCGGGAAATACGGTACCTCTCCCATTTTAATATTGTTTATTTGATTAACATAATTTTTTTTCATTAGGCTTTCCACTTTCTTTATTAATTATTTTTGAGAAACAACTAGAAAGTATGCAAATAACTATTCCATTTTTGTTTTGGTGTACATTTCTGAGATTCAAATTTAGACATTCTCAAAATTTTTTGTGGGACGGAATGAGATACTTTTTAATTAAACGAACCCAATAATGCTGACTGCCCCATTTCGGGGCCAGTGAGCATAATTGAGTTAAGGTAAATATAAGTTTTTTTTACAAACATTGTAATGTAAACATTTTTGTTATGTTTTATTTATTTTTTGTTTATTTGTTTTTTTTAATACCTAGCCTAGTATTAATTAAACAGTTTAAATAAAGCTTAAATTTAAACCTTATTCTAAGCACTAATTCATTGATTTTTTTTTTGTTAGAAATTAAAAAGACTCAAATTTACAAACTTTGCTTAACACACACGTAAACGCGGCAAAAGCGAATCCAAAACAAAACTCATGAAATTTCACACCTTGATGTGAAATGTTTTTCGGCCAATAGAAAACTAGGAAACATTTAAAAACAAAATTCAAATAATCTTCAATTCTCAGAAACAAAATTCTTTTACAGACCTTTTCGCAAGCCAACACAAAGTTTGTTCGTCATCCAATGGAAAGGCCCGAATCATATCCGGGAGTGAATTCCCAAATGACCTTTTCAAGCCCCACAAACAAAATAAAACATGGGCAAGTTCGCCTGTCACCAGAGAGAAGGAGACGAGCGTATTAACACGTCCCTTGACAAACGTCAAGCGATCGTTATTGTTATCTCTACCTTTCTCCTTCACTTCTTTTATACTTGATAAATGAACAGAACATTTTAAGACTGAGTGATTACATTCCTACCCTACAATAACGCTCATACATACACACGTACGTCCATGCCTACGTACACATAAACTCATTCTTGCAAGGACTACTACGAACATTTTGATGACCTTGTATCAACCAAAATACATTCAATTTGTAGAGACCTTAATTGATTTATATGTATATAAATTTGTTGTTTCACTTTACAATTTGATTTTCTTGTTTTATACCCCTCTTATGGTGGGCTATCTAACTAACAAGACCAAATCAAACTAATCTGTTTCAACACTCATACACTTCACTATAACTGATAACCCACTATACCTACACAAAAACGCTAAAAGTCAGCATTCCGTCATGAAAATATGCTCCAAAAAATGAAAACAGTTTTAAAATTTATCATCAAAAAATCTTTAAGAGCAAGGATCAAAGTATTTTTTTGATTATTTAATTAAATTTTTTACTTCTTTTTAGAACATTCGAAAATTTGATTTCTTGCATCAACGGCTGTAACTTTTAGCAAATTTTCACCGCTTTTTTTGGTGAAGGGGAGAATGGCAAAAATCAAATAATTATCGGATTTTAATTAAATTTCCTGGACTTATTTACAAATGAATGAAATTATTTTTGAATTTTTTTTATTACAAAATCTAGGTAAGAATATTTTTTTTTTACGTGTGTTAGCTCCTTAATTTTATGAAAACTTGAGAAATTCAACATAATTTTTATTTTTAGTGACTATATAAATAAAAGTAGAATCCTTTGAAGAATTTAAATCACCGAGTTAAAAGACAAAATTGGTCCCCGTCTTAGCAAAAATCTGTTCTGAATCGAAAAATAAAAACGCAATAATCTAAGATATTATTTAATTAGAAAAAGCTGTTATTTGCTTTTATGAATAATGTATTAAAGACAATATTGTCTGAAGAAAAATAAAAATTTTGACGAAAAATGAATTTTTATAAGAACTGTTTTCATTTTTTACAATTTTAAATTGAATAATTTATTTTCAATGTGATAAGTTTTAGAAAATATCGTTATTACATAAAACTATATTTAATCATATTGTAAAGCGTATTACAACCTGACAACTCTGAAATTTTTTAAAAGAATTTTGATTTGTTTTTGTATGTGATTACATGCAGAATTCTTTAAGTATGGATGTACTAACTGATAAATCTATCTGTAAAAGGTCACATGTCTTAAGGGTTGTCACTCTCCCCCACTAAACTTTATCATCTGCTCCACCATACTTAACTATGAACATGTTCAGCTGTCAATAAATCTATTAACACATCAGAAAAACAAGATCCGTAGTTAAGAAATGTTTGTATACAACATTTTATGCTATAAGTAATATTTGTTTCAAATTAGATTAGTTTAACTTTGAATTTGTTAATTTTCCTTAAAATAACGTTTCAGAAATATATATTTTATTTTTGCAAAATTTTAAAAAATAAGAATTAACTTTTGCTTACAAATGTGTCAAAAATAGCAGATTTTTATCGATTTTACTGAGAAAAAAAACAATTTTGATCAATATAATTTCTGTTTGAAATACATCATTTAGATTTCAACTAAAGCTAAAATGAAAGCTTTAAGAAAGCTTTTTCATTTTTAAAAAATCATTTTAAACCCTATGTATACTGAATTAGTGGTGGTACTGATATTAAAGTTAACAGGTATGGAAGCTCCATATGTCATAATGGACACATTGCTCCTTGCATATTCACAACTTGAATGTCATGAAGCCTTTTTTGCTTCAGTGTATTTAAAATACATTCATTGAAAAAGTGTTTCATGTTATAATAAAAGAAGAGTCTTCTGAATATATTATTTAAGTTGCATTGTTTCTTCAATTAAATATTTTTACAGAAGTTTTCCCACTGTTAATAACTAAAGTTTAAAGTGTCATCCCTATATGAATATAATCTGTTCAGTAACCAAATTGTTGGTTATATGAATAATTGAAAGCTCACTATAAAAGCATATTTAAAAAAAAAAAAAGGAAAATACTCAAATTAAGCAGCAAATACATGAATGAAGAAAATATAATAAATAAATTAAATATGTAAATTTTAAATATTTAATACAGAGACATGTAAATGGCTTTGGTATTTTTGAACAGCAGACAAGGAAAAGTGTTTCCCCAGAATATTTTGCACAAAGTAAAAAGTTAACCAGTCTTTCATTGGTTTTGCGACCTGGCACTGAACTTTTTATGTGTTCTGCAAGGTAGTTTTTTTTTCCAAAAAGGCCTGGTTTCCTCAATAAATGTCATTGTCATGAAATGATATACACCCTCAATGTTTACAAAACACACTGTGATATCCCAGCAGCTTTACCATGTCTCACAATGCAACGCAATTCATTTCTTTTCAAAATCTGGTAAAACACTACTCATAAAACAAGAAAATCCAACACTAGTATCATTTCCACTAGGGGCATAAGCTCTCAGTCTCAGGTCATCAAACGAATGCAAGTTAAAAAAAAAAAAAAAAGTCACAGAACAAAAAAAAAGAAACGAGACAAACTTACCACACTGCCTCTTATCCCAAAAGTGGACAAAATCCCAGTCTCATAAATAAATTGAAAATTCAAGGAACTTTTAATTCAAATTTTAATGTTAAATTGAAACTTTCTCTACATAAAGTCAAAGGACTCCCTATGAAATATCAATTGTGACCGTAGCCTTATTAGAAAATATTTTTTATGGCTTAAAAAAATCTACCTTACGATCTGTGGTTTGTTTACGTTTTTTATGCAAACATTTAAAACCACCCTTCTTAAGTCTTCCTCACATAAAGTCGGTTCTTATGGGATACGAGATCTCCTTTTGAATTTGAAATATTGAATGTGTGACCATAGCATTGTTGGAAAACAATGTTTTCTAACAATGCTAAAACGTTTTTTTGGATTGATTTATAAAAAACTCTTGTTTGGCCTTTGCTTAAATTATTCATTCATTTATTCTTATACTATCACTGAGAATTACTTTTCTTTCTCTTTTATTTCACACCAAAAGTAAAATGTTCATCTCGTTTCAAATTACATACAAAGATAGATGGTATTTATCAATTCACCCACAGGAATTGAATGTGGCACAAGGCCTTTTTAATGTGGGTATGTCTGAGCCCGTAGGCCCAGCCAAAAATAAAACCCATCTAAACCCGTCCAAGCGGGCTAGTTCCGTCAACCTC